CCCCCCCCCCCCCCCCCCCCCCCCCAAATCTAACACACCTTTTAGTGCGATTATAAATAATTCCCTTCTATAACTGTGTGCTTATATAGTGCAATTTTGTAACCAGGAAATTCATTATAGTTTAACATGAAGTCTATTTTGTTGAAGTTATCATCTGTTCACTGATGGAGACTTGAAACAGAACTGTTCATGGCAATTGCAGCCCTTAGGCTATCATAGCAATTATAGTCCTAAGCCATCGTAGCAGAACTGTTCATATCAATTGCAGTCCACAGCCATCTCCATGGTTTCTAAGTGTATCTTTAGGCTGTCCATGTAGGGCCATCCTCAGCAGCAGCGAGTGGTTTCCAATTGATGAGAACTCCAACCAGAAGTATGGCACCAGGATGGATCAGGCAGGTCCGGAGAGCAGAAGGGGTCAGGATCGCTGTTATCTCAGGAGTAGCATGTGTAGCTCGACCGAGAGGGAGAGGGAGAGGGAGAGAGAAACACAGACTATTAGCTATGCTCATTGTCACATAATGGTTAAGGACAATGTGCATTGTGTGCAGAGTTCAAGCAGGTACAACATATAGGATCGTTACTGGCTAAAGTAGTAAATGACCTACTGCCTGCCTTAGATTGTGGATTTGTTTTCGATATTTGTAGTGTTGGACTTTATTGCAGCATTTGAGATAGTAGGCTTGTGAGATTGACTTTGTTGATGAAATGGTGTTGACAGTGCTCTGGTTCTGTGGCTCTCCTGCTCATGGCTCTCTGCCCACACAGATATATCCAGACATCTACAATATAATCTCCTTCTCCCATAAAAGTCAGAGCTTTACTACTTTGCTTTTTAAACACAGTATATATTACTAACTCATCTTTTGGCATTTACTACATTCACTGAATATAAAAAAGCCATAGTAAGCATGCTGTCAGTGCCACACTGAGAGACAGACTAACCTTGGTGTTCAATATTTTATTAAAGATAATCATTTGACAAAATGCTTTATAAACCATGGCTCCAAGATCTCCAACTTCAGCAGCATGTCTCCAAGTGGAAGACTGTCACAGTCATTAAAACCTAACATTAACTGCACTGTGTTCTTTAAATAGCTAATATAAGTGTATGTGGCTTCATAGTGCCATAATGTGTATGATGGGATGATATGAAGTGGTGTATTTTAAATGAAAGTGTACACTGTATATTGAGGATGAGGGTTGTGTGAGGACGAGGGTAATGTAAGGGATGTGTGAGGACGAGGGTTGTGTGGGGACGAGGGTAATGTAAGGGATGTGTGAGGACGAGGGTTGTGTGGGGACGAGGGTAATGTAAGGGATGTGTGAGGACGAGGGTTGTGTGAGGACGAGGGTAATGTAAGGGATGTGTGAGGATGAGGGATGTGTGAGGACGAGGGTGAGGGTTGTGTGAGGACGAGGGATGTGTGAGGACGAGGACGAGGGATGTGTGAGGACGAGGGATGTGTGCAAAGATGAGGATTGTGCATGTGTAATGAAGCGTGTAAAAGAATAAACATGGCTGTGTGTGAGGATAAGGTTTTGTAAAGATGACAGTGTATGAAGATGAGGAAGAGGGCATCACAGGATAGTGTGTTTATGTTGTGAGGATGAGGATATCAGAGGATGAGGGTTGGTGTGATGAAGAGGATGTTAAAACAGAACAATATTAAGGGCAATATGGACGTGTGTGTGTGTGTGTGTGTGTGTGTGTGTGTGTGTGTGTGTGTAGGTGCTGAAGTTCTCTCCAGGACAAAATTTCTACAAAAAGAAAACCAGAGCACGCTGGGTTCTTGAGGAAATCAACCTACAGCATCATGAGCAATGCGAGTGTGTGTGTCAATCACGGCCACCTCGATGAGAGACACACATATACACAAACACACACACACACACACACACATCCACTCAGTATTTCAAACTGTAACTGATGTAGCTAATGTATCTTTCTCTGTATGTCTGTACTTTTGTAGCTTTTATCTGTCTTCACACACACTATTATTTATTTCTGTTTTATGTTTATTTTCTTGCAAACAAAGAAAATGGGACCAAGCCGATCTAAGACTGTTCCTACTTTTTCCCACACACAGACACACACACATTCCAGTCATCTCCCTCGTTCGGGAAGATGAAAGTAAAGGCCAGAGGTGTGTGTTTTCACTCGTTATCCAAAACAGTACATTCCCCTCATACCAGCCCTTCCTCACACACAAACACACACACACACACACACACACACACTGCGGAAAGTATGACTGGTGTAGCTCTGTTTGTGAGATTTTGGGTTTCATGTTGGTTAAACCCCACGCTCAGATTAAAATATTTTCTGTTTCGTTTGTCTTAAAAACACATAATAAACAGATTTTCAAGGTTCAGCATTCACCTGTGTGTATTTTCTGGTTACTGCATGTGTGAGGTGAGTGAGGTGTTATATGCATGAGTATATTATAAGAACAGAGGGGTGCGGTATCATGGCTGACCCTTCACTCTGACCCCAACTTCCTGGGATATGTGAAAACATATTTATCTGACAAATAGCTTCATTCTTCTTTACTTCATGAATTATTTATGCATTTTTCCAGCTCATTCCAGCTCAGAACAGAAATGCTGAAACACAATGTGCTAATAATAAAAGCTGATTGATGAAAACCACAATCTTGAAATCTGTGCTTGTCCATGAACTATGATGAAAAATTCCTAAGTCTGAAAAAAACACTGCTTTTTAATGATTTATGTGCCACTTATATGAAACAAACAAACACTAGAACAAGACTTGCTGTCGTAGAGCTAAAGCAAAGAGACCAAAATGATGTCTGGTCATACAATGCTGGTCGTGGGAAATCCTGCTTTTTCCAACATAATGGGCTTTAAGGGACTACAAGGGCTAACCGGTTACCTGACCAGTCAAAACCTGACATTTAGTTATTCCCAACTCCAAAGTCCAATAAAAACTGTAACACTGCACATGGGAAAGGCACCTCAGGGACAATCAGCAGTCAGATGGAACCAAGAGCATCCAAAAAAAATTTACAGTATAATCTTTCTCAATACTCTCACTCCCATTCTCTGATTGCATAGCTGTCACAAGTAAGTGTAAAATCAAGTACATGTCTTTGTAGCTATGCTGATTGGGGCTTTAGCTCTAGCAGCTAACGTATCTGCTGTGTACCTAGCTAGCTCAGTTGGTAGAGCATGGCACTCTTGCTCTCAGGATTATGGATTTGAGCCCCATGCTGGGTACCAACCCCAACCACTTGGGGTGCACAGGCTAGTCCCAAGCCCAAATAAATGGGGAGGGTTGCGTCAGGAAGGGTGTAAAACCTGTGCCAAACCAATATGCAAACAACGGAAGGTGATCTGCTGTGGTGACCCCCAATGGGAGCAACAGCTTACATATCTGCTGGAGGGAGGGATGAAGGGGTAGTGGAATGAGAGACCTGAGATGTTAGAATTTAGCTCACACCAGATCAAAACCCACTTTCCAACAGACTGACCATTTGAATTCCAGCTGCCAGCTGTTATAATGACATAATGACATAACGATGTCATAAGCTGCATGCAGCAGCTCTGAGACTGTCCTATTGCGTCACACTCACAATTGCCTTAGAACAGAATTAGTTTTTTTTTTTATCACACTTTATAACAGCGCTGTTGAATTCTCAAACCTGATTGATCAGAAGCTGTTGATAAATTTTCAATCATTTTCAACATCTGCTCTGACAGTAGTGCCGTCTGTAATGCGTTATCGTTTCTACAGTAACTGATTCACAGGGACTTGTACTGTGTGGTGGACGCTCCACATAATCTAAGCCTAACAAGAAGTGGATTAAAGATTTGCTGTTATTTAACAATGAAAAAAAGCAGAATTGCTGATATGAAGTTTTCTGTAAGGAGATGTTTATTTAACATTTATGAAAGCAGTCTCCAGTGTCAGCAAGAGGACTTCTGGTTTCTCTGCAAAATGACAAGCAGATAAAACTATAAACAGTGAGAAAGTACGATGAGTCCTTCTTTAATGAATTACAAAATGTAATAGTTGACAAATTGCTGCGTTATGAGAGGAATAATACACTTTGGGGTGTGCTGTTATTAGAAAACAATCAATGTTTGCATGATAATAGTAACTCCGCTTCATCACACCAACGTATCGTTGATTATTTTCCTATAAGTGCACATCCTGTCGTGTTTTATTCCTTACATAATGAACCCAGAACATACCTATGCATCCACCTGTTTGTCTGGAACCATCTTGCTATCTATTCTTTTCTCCAACTTTCGGAGCTCTACAGGTTTCAGCTCTGTGTGTATATGTGTGTGTTGCTGGGTTCTTATCATTGTTGCATCAGCTGGAGAAACAGAAGGTCCAGGATGGAGTGCTGAAGATCAGAGAAGAAGACAGATTGTGGGCAAACAGCTCGGAACTGTGTCAGACCCGACAGCTTACAAAACGTGTGTATGTTTTTACAGAAATGGCTTTCTCTGCAGAGAGACAGACAGACTGAGAGACAGGAAGTAATGACTTCACCCTGAAGAGGATGAATGAGTCATCGTCATAGAGAGAGTGCCCACACTCGTTTATTATATCTCTACATTCTCCCTCCACCCCCAACATCCCTCCAGTCTCTGCGCCTGTATGCAGGGACGGAACAGCTTTTACATATTAACTTCTACAAGCATTATTTCAAGCAATGGAAAGCACCAGAGTCTTCTTTTTTGGATTTTTACACTATTTTCTCTCAATTCAGCAATGCCCATCCACTAGCTAACTCTTCCCCATCATACAGATATCAGTCAGTGAGCGTGAAGGATAACACGTGCTTCCTAATAGACACATGAAACCAAATAAGCACATCTTTTTAAACTGCTGCTTATGGAGTGTCACAAGGCAGCGTAACACACTCGGAGGAAAGCACCATCAACGCTTTTCCGCATACATGAGCTCACAGGCAAAACTGGCTAGTGGTGTTGTGATTGAAAGGGGGGAGAGAACACAGCCAATTTTTCTCTCTTAGACTCCCATCCCCAGATGGCAAGCCGCCTTTATTAATAAGTAAGGAATAAAACACGTGGGGTGTGATGTTATAGGAAAATAATCATCAACGGGGTGGTGTGATGCACCACAGCGCTAAGCAGAGTCACTGTTACCACCGTGAAGTTGATTATTTTCCAATAACAGCATGCTTTAATCAACACAGCACTCAATACACTATAGACAGTTTATACAACTCAATACTCGTATCTGCATCCCTTTCATTATAATGCTCATTTAATTAAACTAAAATAACTTGTTAAAAATTTACAAGGTTTACTGTTAATATCAAGACTAACTACACAACTAAACAACACCTCAAACATTTACAAATACCACAGCATGTTTTAAAAAAATCTGAAACATTTGTAAAAAGCCCTGAGGTCATGTTTTTTTTTTTTTTTTTTGTGATGCAGGCTAAATTTAATTTCTAATATCCACACTCTTCATACTGTCTTTATGGTGTGAATAACCAAAAACAGATCTTCAAGCATATGTGTATGTGGAGAAAAAAGCCATACTGAACAATCTGTCCTTATCAGAAAGTGAATGAATAATGACATAAATAACTAACATTTCTCTAACTATGGTAGAAGCAGCTTAGTAGTAATGGATTCACCTTATCTCTTCTATTAGGCAGAATTTCTCTTTGCGTATTTTGTTATTCTTTTTTTTCCCTGTAGGCTCGCTTTTCTATGACCTGGTCTTATGGTTGTCGTTTCGCCTGTCTGTGAGACGTGCAAGGCCGTACGGTGTCTCATTTCGCTAGCTGGTTCAATGGGAGCTCAGAAGTCTTCTCTATGCGCCGACTCAACAGGATCACGGACACAAGGCATTAAACACTAAAATCATCAATGGAGCAATGCAAAGATAAAGTTACACTGTCTTTTGTCATTAAATTAGGGATTCAAGCACAACGTTTGGAATTGTTAGGATTTTTCTTATTATTTTAATTATGAATATTATTATTAGGGGGCCAAGCACTTCGTTGGGCTATGTTTAGGAAGACTGCTTGCATCTATATTTTAACTTGTGTTTGAGTAGCGTTATGGTTTGCAACTTAAAATAACAGATGAAAGTGAGCAGAGATAATCTATTATCTATATTGAACTATAGCCTAGCGGTTTTCCACGTCACTGTGATCTTGTGTAGTTTTTTGTTTTTGTTATAGGGACTGACAAAATAACCCTGAACTTCATTCATCTCTGAAGGGAAATCATTCACCAATCATTCCAACACACATTTGCAAAGCAACTGAGTGTGTCTCAGACTCTGCTGGTACATCTGGAACTTTCTGGAATGTGGTGAAGATTTAAGGATTGTCCCAAATGCTCGCTTGTACATCCTCACGACTCGTACACCTCAACCACCAAAACACCAAAACTCTGTCTTTCCTTTGCTCTATTTCTATCTCACTCTTGTCTTGCTATATGTCTTTTCTATCTCCTCTCTCATTCACTGTGTTTCTGTTACTCGGATTTTGGTTTCTCTCTGTTTCTCTCTCTACATTATAATTTAAAGAAGACCATTAAAGTAGAATTACAACTGCGATTCCACACACGTTCCTCCTTTTCCTGTTTCCTGTTTTGAAGCTCAGTTTCCAGTCAGGTGAATATCTCGTGTGTGTGTGTGTGTGTGTGTGTGTGTGAGAGAGAGAGAGAGAGAGAGAGAGAGGCACAGAGGAAATGAACTTTTGGAACAGCATGTGCTGAAAACATGGTGGTAATGGTGTTATTATTACTGTTCTTTTTCACAGACACAAACACCATTTTCACAGCTAAGTGTGTGTTACCCTGAAACAGACAAATGTAGTGAATTTCACTGATTGAATACCATTTCAATTTTTATAATATTTATGTATTCAAAGGACATATTATGGCTCTTTTTCTGTGTCTGAATGTTGAAAATGGTGCTTTATTGAGCACATAGTAGGTAAGTTTAGCAATGCCATTATGTTACACCCTATGTAGTGTTTATATATAGTGATTAAAAAGGCATTTGGGATTCAGTCTCACTGTGAGATGGCTTAAATGTTAACAAATTACATTAAAGTGCCCTTACTGCAATGTAAGAACAGGTGTAAATATGATGCATCGATTTATAAATAAAGTGTAGTTACAATGTTTTAAAAACGGAAATATTGCTAAGGACAGGTGTATAACTACGCACCCGAATTCCTCACCACCTTTTCTAAGATGAATAAAATACCACAAGTAATGTCATACTCACAGCAATAACTGATTCCTGATGGACTCTAACGCATGCCGGGTCCTTAGAAGCTCATGGCAGATAGTGGTGTCATCCTATTTCAGAAATGCCATTAAATAAGCCTATGAGCTCACAGAGAGATGCTACACACAGTGATGTGGTGCATTGTGATGACTGTATTAGATTTGGATGACTTGTTTTCTAGCAGTCCCTTAAGAAAAGCTAGTATCTTGGGAATCAGGCAATGCACGAGATCCAGCCACGAGATCCATGGCCTTGCTTGTCATTTCAGCACCATGAGCAGGACATTGTAGCCTCGTGGCTGAATTCTCTGCAGTGTGGGATGAATTAGTGGTAGAAGAGAAAGGGCATATAATAAATGGATAAGACAGGCATGAGCCAGTGCATCCTGCCCCACGGTGCTGTCAAAACTTGGCATTAGTGAAGTGGTCTACCTGCAGCTCAGCAAACATTTCCCAGATCTGGGCTACCACTTTTGAGTGTAGATGCCCCTATCTGGACATACATCCGTCCGCTGCACCATTGTTCAGTTCCATTATATGTATTGCTCTCAGTGTGGCTACCTACGGATGGACCCACCAGGGAAAATTCCATGCAAAGCAGAGAGGGCTGCTTGACCTTGTGCCACCATAATGGTTATCGTCTGAGCAAATCAACACGTGGTGACGTATCAAAACCAGTAAGAAGAACTTGACCAGATGGACCACCCTCGATTTCGGCCAACTGATGTGTACTGACCTTACACATGCTCCTGTGGCACCACATTGCTCCCAAGTCTGTAAGAGAACATCTGTGGTTATTATCTCTCTCCAAGCAGACTCCGTTCATTAGGAATGCGCCGCATCCCCAGCAACCTAGCGCTCAACTCCCTTACACTGAGACAAGGACACATTTCTCTGTGTCTTGTTTGGGATTCAGAGATAGGCTAAATAGATCCTGTAGCTCCAGCAAACCTAGGGGAATTATTGCTCAGTACCACACA